TGCTGTCTTTGTCCTGAATATTGGTGCCTGATGCCAGCTCCTGTTATGTTCTTGAAGTTTCTTCCTGTTCGCTGACAAATTCGTTGTGTGATGAAGTGCCACGCTGTGGTTTGTTACAGAGGTTTTAGTTAACAGTGGTGTCTTACTATACTTTTATTTATCTATTCTAGATAATTTGTGCAATGGAAAATTCCACAAACACCTCCAAGACCTGTTTGCTCCACTTGTTGTTAGATATGTCGATCTGATGGAGTCCTCAATTGCACAGTCAATTCACAGGGGCTTTGAGCGGGAGTCATGGGAGCCAGTAAAGTAAGGAAACCTCCTTTGATACAATCGGAATTTGGGTGCAAATGGATGGAGATTCATACAGAGATGAATTAGCAAACATTAGACTGGACATGCAGAAAGTGCTTTAGATTTTCTAGTTTAATGATTAAAATAGAAGGCCTGACCTCTTCAGGGTTTTCAAGTTAATAAGGGATATGGTATTTGCTTTTTCAAATGCATTGCTGCCTCAGTTTGAACCGTGTGCCTTTGAACATGGAAGCATGAAAATGTGAAAACCTTCTTAGCTGGCATGGCTTTTTGGATCCTCTTCTAAAAGGCCTTTTCCAATGCTGTTTTGAACTCAAATAACTCCTTTTCAGAACAAAAAACCTTGCTCCACTGTGTTCAGTCCAGCCCTATAACCTGTGTGAGTCATTGCTGTGCTTATTCTTCCCAATACTAATTTTTTCCACCCACTCCATGGAAGGATAGTGCAGCATTGTGCTTCTCACATCAGCCCCGCAGCTGATGGCTACACGTGTCCCCATGTCCCAGGGCAGCTCTGACGGGTCCCAGCTCCCTTGCCTGTAGGATTAGGTGTGCAGGAACTATAGTGAAACACAGGCGAGATGATTTAAGTAGAACCAGTTGTTAAATTTGGAGAACTAGGAATTTGCCAGCAAGAAATGAGTAGCCTTAGAGAAACCCAAATTGAACTCAAGAGCTGGTGAATGATAAAAATGTGGCATGTGTTTTTTGGATTACTGTTGTTATTTCACAGGTTTTGAAGCATTGCTGAACCCTGTCATGTTTGCTCTAAAAAGCCAAGTCAGATCCTATGAAGGAAAAGAACTGACTTTTCCTTCTAATAAAGGTATTAAAAGAGAAAGATTGACCCTTGGCAAACAAGATGAGTCTGGCAGTGCCTCAGATGGGATTGGGACCAGGTGACCTCTGGAGAGACTATTTTCCCTGCTTTTTTTGTGATTCTCTAGGCAAAGTGGCACTGCACTCTTGGAGGTTGCTGTAGAAAAGAACGTTTGGTCTTTCAGGGCTTTTCACACCAAATATGTTCCATTTACAGGGAAAAGAGATTTTGTTCGGCAGCCAGCCTCCCATATGCAACCTGGAGTCTGAGTACCCAGGTTTTTTCCTTTCTTTCTTGTGCATCCTCAGCATCCGTAAGGATTCTGCCTGCCAAATCTCAGGCCTTTTCTTGACACCTGATCATCCCCTCTGTTTTGAGTGGGGTTAAGTGGCTGGCATTCAGGAGTCTCTCTCACTTTCCATTTGCTGTCTTTGGTCTGCAGGCTAACAGGATTAAAAATCCTAAAAAATCTTGTTTCAAATAAGCAGATGTGACCCAGAAAACATACAAGAAATAGATCTTTCGAGTAGGAGAATGCCATTTTTACAGCCACTCCTTCAAGCAGAATTGCAGTTTGAAGTGAGCATTAGCTTTTGTTTCAGAGCTCTGCTTTAGTGATGAATATGTTTATATTTCCTCATCTGTTATGAAACACAGGCAGTTAACTCCATGTACCTGTCCACCTCAGTCAAGCAGTCAATAAGCAATTTGTTCAGCTTTTTTCCTTTGTCAGAAGCTGACATCATTTTGGCTTTTAATTACTTCAGTGGCTTAACTATAGATGTCCCTAAGTACTTGGCTGTGATACTTGCCTGTCAAAATGCTTTGTCCCTGGGTATGCCATTATCTATAATTTTTAAGTTATCTTTGATAGTTATAAACAACCTTTTCTTAGATCTCTTGAAATGGTTATTCCCTTCTGGAGTTTCAGTTACAGAGTGCTTTGAGCATTGCAGTTTCAAGCAAAAGCCCAGAATGGACTATATGTCTTAAAGACTTGGGTATTTAAAAGATTTCTTCCAGCAGGAAAGTGGGTGCTTTTCACAAGAATCTTGTGTCCATCTGGTAAAAAGATGCACTCTGGGTTTTTTTTTTTCACTAGTTGGTATTTTGTTCTTGTGTCTCGCACACAAAAATGCGAGTTACAAATCCTGACTTAACACAATGTGACCCAGCAAAGGAAGGTACCAGTGATGCACAGAGGGTGGCACATACAGTGTAAGGGAAATTTTGTCATTCCTAGGATCTTATGACAGTTCAGATGTGCTGTTCAGAACTAAATGTTAAGGCATCTTCATCTTTTGCCTCCTGGGCAGACCACCTGCTCCTCTTTGTCTGATCGACAGAGATCTCACGGAAAAACTCAGATCAGAGATTTACTTTGTTTGATTGACCCTCCTGTATCAGCTGCCTTCTCCTCCCCCATGTCCGTAATACAGCACGGTTGAATTTTTGGCCATTGATTCTCAAGTAGTTTGGACCAGCCAATTCCCACCCAAGTCACGGCCTTCCTTTGCTACCTCTCCAACAGAGCTTTTTGGGAATTAGGAACACTGCAGTATGTTTTTCCATGGCTTTCCTCTGCTTTGAAGAAAGGCCTTCAAGTTGGCCAGAAAAGTTAGATCATCATCGCTGTCCATTCCACCGAGCTTACTGTTGTCCTACTTTGAATCTCTACAGTGAATTGTGAGAAGAAAATCTCATTATCTCCTATTAACCAAGAAATTATTCCACAGCACAGTCTTTTGAAAGGGTTTCTCTATGCTCATGCTTGCAATCAAGGCTGAAATATGTAGCCCTCCATAACCTGACCAGATGGCAGTTTGCAAGCATGTATTTCTTCTATTTTCATTGCTGAATACTCTGTACCTTATGCTACGAGGAGTTAGGTATAGAAATCACAAACAGTGAGAGAGGTACTGTTAAGTATTGAAAACATGGGGAGAAAAAGCATCGATGTAATGTGCTCATGAGGGCTGTGTAATCTGCCTCTGCAGAGCTGCCGAATTTGCAGGGGGTCCGTGCCCTATAGCTAGAGCAGCTGGTGTGCTTGTATGAATCCACGCAGAGAAATGTGGAACACTTGTCCTTCGCACAGTCATCCAAATACGGAGGATACAGAGTAGGTCTGTTCTCTGGTGAGTTGAGAGGTCTTGGAAAAGTAGGGTTTGCAATGGTTATGGTTTGTTGGTTGTTTTTTTTTCCCTTGCTAGCTTCTCAAAGAACGCTGATTTATCTTGCAGCCAGCAGACACGTACGTGTGTGTGTGTGTCTCTGTGTGTGTGTGTGTGTCTGTGTTGAAAGATCTTTATGAACAAATGCTAAAGCTGGTGCAATGACAACCAGTTTCAATTGCTTGACTAGGATGTTACTCATTGACCTATGGCTGTCTCTGCTGTAGTCCTGGCTTTAGCATCTCTTAATTCCTCACTAACCCTTTGCAAACTATTTATAAAAGTGTCGTTAATATAAATGTAAGAAATTGAACAGTATGATTATACAAATCATTTTATAAGGCTGTACTATTACAAAATGCTGGTGAAAAATGTTTCCCCTTAAAAGAAGCACCGTTGTAGTGAAAATGAGTATTTTTGTTACTATTCTGGGTGTCAGTCAGAGGAAGAGCACAGATTTGACTGCCTACTTCACTATCAAGCTCTTTGCTTCACATCAAGGCTTTTGTGAAAAGATTTGCTCTTGAGCATTTGCTCAGCCTAGGCAGTGAGGTTGTAAGCATTTATAGTGATGGGAGAGACAGACGTTTGTGTCTTCCATCCCTAAATCTTTTCAGGAATCCCTTAGGAACTGAGCATTTAAGTATGAACAGGGGTCTCGTTTAGCTCTGTTCTGAAGCCAGGAGCCAAGTCAGTAAAAATACTGTGATTTTTCTGCCCTCCTTTCAGTGCTAGGGCAGCTCTAGAGGAGCAGCCCCTGTGCAATTGTACTTGTTTCCTGTGATCGGTCCTACAGTACAGTGTGAGTGCTGGGATGTTGTCCAGGGGTATTTTGCCAGTCTGTTTGCACTGAGAATTTCCCAGCAGACAGCCCAGGTGAAAGCCATTTCCACAACTACCAGACACAAATGGGGCTGAATCAGAAGAAGCCAAGAAAACATGCAGTACAGCTTTTATCAAACATATCAGGATCCAGTCCTGAAGCTGAGTTGTCTTAAATCAGACAGCCCTCATCTTGTTGATGCAAATGCCCACATTCCCTGCCTGATGGCTGAGGTTATATTTAGCCGTCTATATTAAATAGGCATGGCTGGCTTCTAGAAACAGTTTCTCATCTTGGACCTGTAGTTTTATGGTCTGAGCAACTGCAGGCTGGAACATTTGTTGGTAATATTAATCATTTTTTACAGGTCTCACTGCAACTGTTAGTCAGATAATTAGATCAGCTGAACCTGCAAAACTGTGCATGTCAATTCAGGAGAATATTTTTAAAATTAGTTACTGTATGTTAACATAACATACTCCATTATTTTGCTGTTTTGTTTTGTTTTAAGAGTACTAACTTATTCTTGCAACATATTCTGCATCAGCAAAATAATGTGTTGTATAAAAGAAATATGTTTCCATGTGAATATAGTATACTGTTTACTCTAGAAGTCGTATTTTATTAATACAGTGTTTTTATTAATATAACACTGTCACTTCTTGAATTTTAATATTAAAACCAAAGGTCCTCTGATTTATGTATTTACCATCTGGCTAAGTTATTTAAGTTGCTTTTCCTTATACATTTATATGTTGTCCATCTCTTGCTATTTCTTTATTTATTCCATATCAGTATCTAACCACATGCACTGCCATTTCTGAAGATTTAACACTCTCAATCACTATGGAGTCTGTGTCTCATTCAATAATCATATCATCTTAATAGCAGATACAGTATGAATGGAAACAATGGAGTGCTTTATTACATTAGCAAATTCTCGTATCTGCTTACAGCCTAACAAAGACAACAAGCGGGTAGCGTGAAGTCCAATCTACTGAGAATCAAAGAAACAAAAGAAAACAAGAACATACTTTTTTTTTTTTCCACTAGAAAAAGACTTAGGATTGTGGTTTTCCTCCACAACAAGGGATTTTATTCACAAAGAGAGAATGAGGATAAAGTTTATTCCCTAAGACTTGCCACCAATGACAAGCTGAGCTCTTGCAGATATGTGATTCAAATCTTCTGTTGTGTTAGGAAACATTTATTCAGTATAGCCAGCTCAATTCCATTACTTTGGGTTTTGATGTATAAAACTTGCAGTAAGAAATGGAGTTCAAAATAGGACTCCAGGAAGTTGCCAAGATTTTAAGATGCCTTGAAAGATAGAGTGTATAATTTGTTTGTTTACCTAGAGTCCAGATAATGCTGCCTGTACAGCAGTTAATTTAACCCAGGGGAATGGGAGAGACCTCCCAGGGTGGCATGTCCTGGTGTGGTCACTAAGAGCAGGGAAATGTGAACGCTGAAGCTGCGTCCGTGCACATCAACAAGGCTTTCAGTAGCTGCAGCAGTGCAGGGTGAGGCTGAAAACCTGAGGTCCTAAGTCCATTTTCACTGAGCCCAAATAATGATCCAGTGAAAATGGTGTCAAAGCATCTGGGTTTTTTTAACCTCAAATGGGACTGTAAAACCATCTATAGATTGTGTCCCAGCATGCTATATAGTATTACTAGATGAAGGCAGAAACAAGATATACTGCTGAAACTGGCTTCTGATTCCCAAATCCCATGACATTTTTATTTTGCATAAAATTTAACTGTGATGAGATACTCATTAAAACACATTTAGAGCAATTATAACATCTAGAGATCTACTACACTAAAATACATCAGGGTGTTTTGCAAACTTCAAGCATGCGGTGCTGTTACGCCACACGTTGTTTCAGGAGAGTATGTCACATTAAATTAATACACTAGCCCACTTTTAAAAGATCTCTGTTTACATAACAGTAGCACATCTGAAAATATTTATTGAAGTCATGATGCCCAAGTAGACATGCTTGATAAATTAACCTTTAAATGTCTTAATCACCCCATAGCCCATTTCCAGCCAAGAAACATTCACATACCAGTCCTGGATTTATTCAGTGCAATTCATTCAAGTGCACATGTAGAGCTGGGCAACCTGCAGGACCCATTTTCTCTGCACCCAGGAATGTAAGGGAGGATGACGGCATGAGTCTTCACTGAGGAAGAACCTTGTGGTTCACCATTTCATTGCTCCAGATCAGCACATCTTTGTTATTTATAGAGTACAAAATAAACAAGAGAGATGTTGGAGTGAAATCCTGACTCCTGAATTTGGTGGCAAGAAAAACTCATCGACTCCTACAGGGCTGGAATGTCAGACTTTCTGTTTTCCCTGGTAGATCTCTTAGTTTAGTTCTTTCATCCAACCTGAGTGTGTAAGAACTGAGAGTCACTTCCTTACAAGAGAGATTTTTCCAAGGAAAGGCTGCTCTCTGCACTTCAAAATGGTATCAGGACTTGAAGGTGGAGTTATTTTCTAGTGGGTGTTTGAGTACTCTGTTAATTTGCTACTTTGTGATTCTTCTTCTTTTCGTTCTGTTTTTTTTTTAAGTAACTTGCTTTATATTGCAGACTGCAAACCCAGTACACTTAAGCTTCCATACTCATGCTTCTTTCTGAAATGTTTTGCTTTAGTTTTTTAACTGTCGTCGTGCTGTGAACTTTGCAGATTTGTTTATGAGTGTCACGTGCTTCTGCTACATCTGCATTGTCACTGTTATGGTATTTTTTCTTTCTGTCTGTTTCTTCCACAGGAGTTTAACAAGTAATCTGCCCAATGTGAATCTACCAAATGTGAATCTCCCTAAAGTACCAAATCTACCAGTTAACATCCCGCTAGGCATCCCACAAATGCCTAGCTTTTCTGCACCGTCATGGATGGCTGCTATTTATGATTCTGAGTGTGTATTCAGTTCAAATTAGATCTCATTTAAATTTAAAGTAATCTTGGCATGGATATGTATTGTTTGTTTCTGTGCATTATAGAAAACTTTAAAGAGTGATACAGTTAATTAGATGTTTCCTGAATGAGACACTAGTGAATTTCTGGCATGTGTATTTTGAGGGGTTTTTTTGTATAAATCTTAAAAATTTGTCTTACACTGAGAGTTTGAGCAAGTATCTTGCTTTACAAAATAGCTGTCAACAATGGGACATGGCCTGAACAGCATACGAACCGCAGAATTTATAATGCAACATGCTGTGTCTCAGTGAAAAATTTTGTCCAAAAGAGAAGATGAAGCTATTTCAATGCCAGTCAACCAATTTCTGTGGACCAGATGTAGATCTAAAAGTGAATTTTATTTAATACAAGCTCCACATTTCCCAGATAATAATTTTTGTCTTGATTTTGATGAAACGGTTTAACAAAGAGGAACACGCTGCAACAGTTTTTATTTGTGTTGGGAAAGGCCCCAGAGAGCAATTAAAGCTCCATAGCCATCATTACAGCTTGAATATGCCGTGACCAACTAAAGAAAGGTATTTTCAACGTGAGCTTTAGATTATGGCCTGAAAAATCGGGCATGGTGTCAAAGCAGTCAGTCTGTAGGAGCCTTGTGCTCTGTGCTCCCAGCTCCCTGTCCAAGTGTCCCAGGGTGCACGGGTGGAGCTCAGGGGGCACGTACCACAAGTCCTGAGCACAGATTAGGTGAGTTCTCTTCTTATAGCAGATTTCCCTTAAAAGTCCCAGCCACCAAGCAATGTGGAGAGTGGGACACAGTGGGCTCAACCCAAATGTCAATGTTTGAGGTAGCTCATCTCCCAAGGGAGCACAGGGACTGGCATCTTGCCAGTTCTCCATCTAAATTCCTGGATGGTTTTTTAGGGTTGGCGTGGGGTGGTCTCAGCCAGCACTGCATGGATGTGTTGCTTTTTTTCTACCTTCTCACTTAGATAAAACTGTAGAAGCTCCCCAAAACTACCCCTGTCACTGTTACTGAAACACCCTCAATTACATCTACACCTGGAGTCCACCAAAGTGCCTCTGCCATTAGCCTTTTGCAGGCTTTATTGCAGAGCAGTGGTAACAAATCAGAAGTGAAACAAACACTGATGTTTGCTTTTTTAATAGATTTTTAAAACTTATTTTAAATATTATCGTGGTCATTTATGTTTCAGTGCTATACAACTCATATTCATGCTAAGATAGCTATATTAAAGGCTAGCTTAGGCAGTTGTCTGTAAAGAGTACTTGAAAGTTTTAATCTTTCTCTGTGCATGCTTTGTGGTATTGCCTTTGAAAAGATAAGAATCATGTCATGAGAGAAAATTGGATTCATCCCTCTGAAAATGTTTGAGCATCAATGGTGTATAGCAAGCTGCCTGTGTGATTAGAGTGATTGCAGTGCTCACAGGCAAAATTTTAACAGTGTATCTTGGAAATTAATATACTATATTGTTAACTTGCATGGAGCCCTAATCAAAAGTGAGAAAAAGACCAAGAATAATGCTTCAAAAATTTTGTAACCAAGTGGATGTCATAATATTACTGTAGTAAACACCAATTATTGTATTTGGACGTATTTAATTATTTAAAACATAAATTCATGCAGTTCCAAAACTGGGTTTAGATTCTTAAAGATTATTTATACCCAAGCACAGGTTTGAACCAGCCGAAACTAAAAACTGACAGTGGATGAAGGCTTGAGACTGTTGTACAAATTGGTCCCCTGGTTAAAGGAAATGCCTGATTCTTTATCTTTTCATCTCCCTGGTTTCCTTTTACTCACCCTTCCCCTCCATCAAGGACATGTTTCCTGTTGCTTAGTGTCAGATACGTTTCTCCTACAACCGAGACGATTCTTTCTTTATCTCGTTAACTCCGTTAGCACAGGACCCCTCAGGACCCCTCTAGCATGTTGGGACCAGGGTTCTCACCTTGCAGTAGCCGTGTCTGCATTAGCTCCGGTCTCCTCTAGCATTAACTCAATGCAGCTGGCATCTGTCACAATAGAAACACCCTCCCTCATCTGTTTCTATAGATGATGTCAGCACAAGTGGTAATGCATGGTGTGTTAAATATCTTATAAATTACTGTGTTAGCATTAGTGGTATGCGAGGAGGGGGTTGAAACTCTTGAAGCTCCCTTGGTAATTGTTCTGAAAAAAAAGTGAGGAAGAAGGAGAGAGCAAGAGAGAAGGGTTATGGATGCATAAATTTCTCTGCACAAACAGAGCACAATCCGGTTCTGTATTTTTATTCTGTAAATGGAGGTTTGAGATATAATTATACTGTGAAAAGAGACGGTGTAGCTACACACTGCGGGACCAAAGACTTCCATCTGGGTTGGGGTGTGGGCTATGAGAATATACACTTGGGAGAGAAATTCAGAGTTTTGTGACAAACCAAAGATGTTGCAAAATAATTTTTTTTTAAAAAGGGAAATTTGTTGTCCTATAGATGCCTTTGCAAGAGGCAGATCTGTGAAAAGGTGCAGCGGTCAATCCTGCCAAAACTCCTGGATATGAGATGCCTAGTGCCCTTAGCTCAATTGATTTACCCCGATTTTTTTTCAGCTGTTCAAGAGATAAAGTGTGTCCTCGCTCACCACTTGTTAGCACTGTCCCTTACCTGGAAACGAGGGTCTTACTGGGGGGGGACAAGGCAAACTCAAGGTATAATTCGGAGGGGGGAGAATTGCATGAAACCCTACATCTTAATAACTGCATACAGTCTAGTATGGCAGTTATTATTGATCGAGGATTTTCTACCCCAATTTCTAGCCTTAATTCTTAATAATCACATACATTAATGTGGTTATTAACTAAGGTTGATTTTTACCATACACACATTCTTCCTGTTAATATGTGTAACTCATAATGTTGTCTTACTCATCTGGTCTGGAAAGTTTTGTGGGTTATGACAGCAAGGTAGATTAGGCAACTGTATGGTAAAACTCAAAATCCTGATGGTGGAGATTGCCAGCGTTGTCCTGTGTATGAAACTACTGTCTGCTCTACACTTGTTGCAGGAATGGTCTCCACATCAGGTTGCAAAAACCTTGATGCCACTTATGACTTTTGTTCTTATTTTGCCCTGCCAGCAATGGATCAGGCACCTCAGAAGATCTGTTCTGGAAACTCGATGCCCTACAGACCTTCATTCGGGATTTGCACTGGCCTGAAGAGGAGTTTGGAAAACACTTAGAACAACGCTTGAAACTTATGGCAAGTGACATGATCGAGTCCTGCGTGAAGAGGTATGTGGCCACGAGTCAACTAGTCATGTTTCTCATAGAAGCTCACAAGATGCAACATTTTTTTATGTCTTATTAGCAATGAATCATAGAATGGTTTGGATTGGAAGGGACCTTAAAGCTCATCCAGTTCCAACCCCGCTGCCATGAGCAGGGAAAACTTCCACTAGACCAGGTTGCTCAAAGCGTCATCCATCCTGGCCTTGAACACTTCCAGGGAGCTTCTCTTCAGTCACTATTTATTAGTGACCCCAGGTCACCTATGCCCAGCACAGGCTGGTGGAAAGCCATCCTATTGCTGTGAATTGTGGACTCTCCCAAGCAAGCACTTTCCCATGCAAGCACTTCTCTGTTGAGACTCTGGAGAGTGCATCTTCAAAATAAGGCAATAAATCACCTGTTCTTTCAGGCTCTGTGGGCAGTTACTTATTTTCGGTGCCATACATGAGGTCAAGTCTTTGTAAATGCAGTCTGATGTTGGCGGGGTTGAGTGCTGAAGGCATAGCTGTAAATAGGATCCCAGCACCCACCTCAAAAACACAGATACCTGAAAAAAGAAGCAAAAATGTGATCCCAGAAAGGGGATATTGTGTAGCTTGGCACACTGGCTTCGTATCTGCCATTGACTGAGTAAAGCTCTTTAATCTTCAGCCACGTTATAGGTTACTCACCTGCTGATCTTCCAAAACAGAGAGGTTTCCTTAAAAAACATCTAAACATACAGGTAGCTGTTACTCTGAAAGCAAAATGTTAAGCCTAAATTTCCAACCTTTACACAGTGATTTATATCCATTTGGCATCAAAGGTGATTAGGCAGGAAGAAGAAATGAACTTTGCATTCCATTCTGCAGAAATGAATAGACAAAGAGACGAACCAAAGGGAAAATGAGTGCAAAATACAGCTGGTATATGCTGATATTAGCAGCGATGTGTGATGTGGCTGTTCTGTACCACAATTGCCTGACCACTCCACAAGTGTGAGCGTGGCATTTCTTGTTCACACGTTCCTCACAGTCTGGATGCACAACGTTACCATAGAGGAAGGCACGTTCGATCCCCAAGATGTAGTCAGGAGACTTGCCCTCTGGAAGGCAGACAGCTCAAGGCTTGCTCTCTCACTGTTCTGGAATAAACCCCCGTGCATTTTAAGTGCAATGTGATGGTCATGATGTCTTTGGCATTGAGCAAGCTCGTCTTTGCTCCTTTGGTTGACATGAATGCTGACCTTCAGTTGTTGTCCAGTTGTCAGACAGCTCTTTAGGAGCAAAACCAGTGCTGGAGCTCTGCCCTCTGCCCCCACCACCACCAGCAAAACACTTATTTTCTCTTTTCTTTTCTTTTTTTTTTTTAATTAGAACCAAGGCACCTTTGCTACACCTGCAGTGCAGTTATAGCTGTGATGGTCTGTAGAAATCAGAGCAGGTTACCTCAGCTGAGATAACTGGGAAAAATAAGCAAATATGCAGGTACATCTGAAGAAAGGCTTGTGTGCCTGAAAGCTGGGTTGTTTCTTTTTTCCCAACTGCTTCAACCTTTCTACAAATATGTTGCCCCTCTGTAAAAACCCGGCCCAGCTTGTAATGGTATGACTATATATAATAGTTCTGAGCATAAGTAGGAACATGCTCCTCTCTGTGAGGAGATGGAAAATCCCAGTCACTTTGGGTCCTTTCAGTAATTATCAAGATTCTAGTCCCCGAGTCCAGGCTAAATCTGGCACTGGTAATTAAATCAGTTCAAATGCCACTGCTGATGTAAACCAATATGCTGCCTTCCCTATTTATATCACCTGCAAACAGGGCCTGGCTAAGGTTTCTTTAGCAATTTCAATTTGACACAACATTTTTCTTCGCGTCTGTCTCTGAACTGTTGAATACCATGGAGGAGCCACCCCGCCTTCCACGCTTGGTTGTATTTCGGTGCTGTCAGGAAAGCAGCCCTTGCAAGGAAGGTCTGTTTCGCTAATAAATCTGGGCAGGAGGACCTATGTACCAGCTCAGATCTCATCCCACGAATGGGAGTTTCACATTTGTAAATGAGTTTTCATTTGCATAACCCTTGGGGGATCTTTCAAGATCAGAGTTATTCCTGAGCTGAAGCTGATATTATTTGTTATTTCTAAATTGAAGCTCCTATGTTAATTTGTTGGCAGATTCTGTCTGATGTGATAATTGTTCTGTGTTAGGTTAGATTAGTAAAGTACTTCAAGAATCTGCAGAGAGGCTCCAAAGAAAGGCAAGGCAGTGCCCACCGTACTGTAGCAAGTGTTCTCCACGTTAGAGTCACAAGTGCCTTGATGTTTTAAAATACAACATGGGATCAAAATCTATAGTCTGTGGCCCAACAAAGCTCTTGGTGTAACATGGTTTGTAACTGCCAGGGATGTCACATTTCAGCTCAATGAAACCTCAGGAGAGCGGAGAGGTGCAATGCATGTGTGTGTGTTCACATGTGCACGACTGCACCCATGCACGTTTTGCAGACGTATTCTGGTGAGCATGTACACTTCAGGGAAACCACTTATATGAGAAAATTAGGAACTGTCAGCAAGCAAATACAATCATGTAGACCTAAAAATGCAATAATCTGGCAATGTCCTTTCAGTCGAGCGAGCTCCATTTGTAGTTGATACCATGGAGCAATAGGAGCTTCCTCAAATGCGTCAGGTTTGTTGTTTGTCTGTGGTTATAAATCAACTAATGCAACCAAATTATAGGTGTACAGTAGCACTGCTCTTTGTAGCATCATCACACTGTTTATCAAGCATGAGAAAGTCATAGTTTCCCTGAAACCGTTGCACACTTTATAAATAGTGTGTATTCTAGAAAGTGGGTTTCTTTTTAAACTGGAAAATCATTTTTAGTAAAACCACATTTGTAACAATTGCCCTATAATGCTCCCAGCAGCATTTGGCTTTCTGGTTTTGTTGAACTCTTCTCAGTATTGTTTCACATTATTATTGTCTTCAGTATGTTTAAAAGCAACTGAAATGTCTTTTTCTCTTTTCCTCAACAGAACCAGGATTGCATTTGAAGTAAAGCTGCAAAAAACCAGCCGATCAACAGATTTCCGAGTCCCTCAATCAATATGCACCATGTTTAATGTCATGGTGGATGCCAAAGCTCAGTCAACAAAGCTTTGCAGTATGGAAATGGGCCAAGAGGTAAAAATGCAGGTTCTTCCTTTCACAGCTTTTAAAGGCAATGTCATGAAGTTTCCTATCTTCTGTTGTGCTAGTTTCAGAGGCGTTATATCAGTTGTGGATTTAGCCTTCTATATAGAGTGTGCAGATGAATATACAGGAAGTTGCTCTCAAATAAATCTTATGAATATAAACATTCGGAATCCTTGTCACTTAGGAGAGACTTTTTGCAAGGGCTGTGGTATGCATAAGGTATCTCTTAAGCTTGGTTGATGCATGATGAGTCATTAACTGCACCTTGGAGCCAGGTGTCAGCACCACAGTTTCTGTGTATGACTATTTTCTGTAGACAAACATAAGGAAAACAGAAGTGCCAAGTTGTTCCTGTGATGCATGTAAGGAAAAAAAAAAAAAAGAAAAAGGAAAAAAAAGCAACAAAAATCAAAACATCAAATAGATAACTTCCAAGAGTAGATTGAAATTCCAGCTGCTGTGACTCCTTGAGTACTGGCTGTAATCAGCATGCTTGATGACCCTGGATTCCCAGGTTTTTAATGGCTCAAGCTTCCAAACAACAAACCTGTTTAAATTAATAGTTGATATTTTTATATTCTGAAGCCATAGTTGCAGGTTGAAGTGTCTATGAATTGATCTATGAATTAGAAAGACACGCTAAGTTTGACTACATTAAATGCATCATAATGATCATTTTGCTACAGTGGCTTCAAGCCAAATTCAATATTCATATAGCAGTCTAGAATAAATTCACAAATACTCCTATCCTGCTGCTTGTCAGCACTTCCTAGATAAGCTCTTTTGCTACAACTTTCTATGGTCATATTTTGCAATGAATCATTGCAAGTTATTATTTTTTTTATTATTTTTATTTTTCCTCTGAGAGGAATTGCTCCAAAGGCCACTGAATGCAGCAGGGATCCTTGCCCTGATGTCAGTGGTGTTTGGATCAGACCCAACTGTTCTTTTTATTTTTCTTATATATGTTTCAGTTATGATGGTTTTTTTGTGACAGTCACCTTGTAAAGAGAGGTTTCATACTGCTCATCATCAGGTTCTTCCTTTGTCCTCCAGGTCAGCTGAGGCAGATCTCGAGTGGGCTTTTTTTGTCCAACCCTGGACATTAACTTCTGTATGATTTTCTGTTCCACACCCATTTATCTCCCCAAATTCCTCAGCCTGCAGCTGCTGCAACATCTACCCTGGCAGTGCCCCATCAACCAGGAAGGGCTGTGGTTGCAATGCTCCTCACTGCAAATCAGGATCAAACCCTTGTGTGTTATACTGGCACAGTCCCTGGGGACAGAGACCTTTTGGAGATCAAGCAGACTCTGATACCATGACAGAGCAAGCTCATTGCATTCACAAAACTGTCAGGTTAAGTGTTCAGATGGCACAAGACTGATAACTCTGTGTCTGGATGTAGTGTGACCAGGCACTTGCTGCATCTTTCCATGCTAACTTGTGATGCTCTGTCCTTGACAAAGTTTCCTCCAAATTTTGAGCATCAATCATGTTGCACAGTCAGCCTGAGTGAAATTGCAAGTGAGAGGGGAACGGGCAGCAGGACAGTTGTTTCTCTGCTGCAGCAGGATTAGCTCTACAAATCTGCCTGTGCAGCTTCAAGAAGGTGTTTGGTACAGCAGCTCGGAGACAGCCTGACTCCTGTGGCAAGTAGCAGTTGCTGGGGCATGAGGTTTTTAACAGATAGCTGAACTAATAGACCTGTAAAGCAGATGTAAATTATCAGTGCATAAGTTACCATTTAGGGCTACAGAATTTTATACATCCTCCTTTCTTTTCTTCCTTTTAATGAGTGTTCCTACCTCCCCCTCCATTCACTTGTGCCACTCCGTATTTCACCTACGTCCATCTCCCCTTCTTGAAGCTGTCTAAACCTGTGTGCTGAGATGGTCATGCTGGGGGGGGGAAGGTTAAGATATGGATCTGTTGTTACAGCCCATGAGGGGAGGACAAAATGCCACCCCACCTCTTCCAGTCCCCAGTGGAAATGATAGGGCAGTCAGGTAGACAGCAGGGGGATGAGAAACTGGGTTTCAACCCATGTCTTCCTCCGTAATTCGGGGTGCTGGGTCTGTGCATCATTGAGTCCCTCTGTCCCCTCCAGTCCCTGATGTGTGGCAGCCGCACGGCTCGGCCAGGGCCACCTGCAGCCCTGCCGGGGAGGGACAGACAGACAGACAGGGAAGGACAGATACAACTCACTGATGGGACCCTCCGTCAGTGCCTCAACTGCCATGTGCCTCCTAAAACACGTGGTCCCTTTGCAGACAGGTCAAAAGCAGCACAAAGGGCTCACAGTGCCCACCGCTGTGTTCAGGCAGGGTCATTGCCCAGACCTAACTGCAGAAGGCATCCTCATTAGAAACAAACCATGGATTTTTCTGATGGTCCAAGCTGGACGTGGGCAGAGACTCTCTCAACACGTTACTTGACCTCACTCCTGCAGTTTCCCTCCCACCCCAAAGGCCTTCCCTTCAAGACTACCTTCAGTTACACTCACTTTAACAGATACTTGAATGCATTTTGTGAGCATTACCCTGTGAAACAAACACCCATCATTTCATTTCCATTTCCTTGTCTCTAAAGGCAGCTGTTAAAACATTTGGTAAACATACTTTACCATCTTAAATATTTATTTTTCCTCTGAATTTTTAATACATCTAAGGGGATAAATGTATGTATTAAATGTTTCTCAGTTGGTCTAGTATGTTTCTATTTAATATCTAAGGTCAGATGGTCCTTAGAGAAATACAACGTACACACAATCTGTTACATGACAAGGCAAGATACTCATCACATAAAGTCAAGTTGAATCATTGTAGTGCACTGATTATAGATTGTAATAATCAAGCTAATAGGAAGCTGCGATGAACTCGATCGAAAGCGGAGGCTACACTGAGTAAAGCAAACCAGTTATGTGATCTTTAACCTTGAGCATTTTCATAGGAAATGTAGAAGAAGGTGTGAGAAACACTGGTTTATGAGCCAGGCGTCTGTGAAAGCAGCACCAGGCAGTCGTTTTCCAAACTGCTGCCTTCTCCAACCCCATCCTGGCTGAGGCTCATCTTCCCAAGGTGGAGCTGGGGCTGCAGCACTGGCAATGCAGAGTGCATGTTGCTTTGGCTGCCCAGGGCAGGACCCACAGCCTCACGGGCCCTATTCTGCATTGTCCCTGGCCCTGGCACCAGGTCTGAGTCTGCCCTGGGGATTGCAGCTGCAATGGGAATGAGCAGTCAGAGTCCTACCAGCGCTGCCTTGGTGCATGTACGAGGTCTTCTGCTCTCAGAGCTGTGGTTTTATTCCATCAGGGCTCTTACTTGCTTTTAAAACAAGCTTTTAATTAAAAATGCATCAGTCGATACATTTCACAGTGTATTTTTTTGCACATAGCTAGCCATTTTTGAGTTAAAACTTATGATTTACCCAATGAAAGCAGTTAGCTAAATCCTTGGTTGTGAGGTCTTCCACGCACACGGAAAATGCAGCAGCAGAAGGAAAACATCATGGGGAAGACACCACCATTATATGCACAACCCCTTCTTCATCTCCCCTAGGAGGTAGGTGTACGCTGAGGATGTCAGCAGCTCCTGCCTGTACCCAGCTGTCCCCAATCCCCATCACCTGCAGCTGTATCTCCAGCTGTGCCAGGAACAGCCAGGTCACTCCTGGGAGCTGATAGAGCCTAACTCTGCATGAAACATGAATCATCACTATGACTGCTGTAAGGGACTCATATAAGTCTTGACCTGCAAAGCAGGACATGGAAATGGCCACTGCAAATGCAAATATCACTTGTTTGTTGATGTCTGTGTTTCCCTCTGAGTGGGCCCAGCAGATCACAGCCCATGATGTGGCAGTGCCAGCCTGTCCTCCTGCCCGGGGTGAGGCTCTGAGTGGCCCCAGCAGGGACTTTGGCCAGGATGTGCTGCCCCGCACAGCCCTGCCCTGCCTGCCCTCACCCCTCAGGCACACCCAGCTCTGGTGAAGGGTGTGCAGCTGCCCCGATGCTGAGCCTGCCTGTCAATAGCCACTCACCTCCTCTTCAGAGCAAAATAAAACCCTGAAAGACTGTCAGCAGTTAGGTACAATCCCATCCCTTTCCCCTCTTTTACTGCCTGTAAATAGTACAGGTAGCCATCTCTGGTATTTCAGTGAAAGGAGGTTTTTATCACATTTCATTTTCCATTGCTTATTGTTTCTGTGCATGATGCTGCTGTTCTCATATGTCCCTTTTTTTAAAGATTTTGGTTTATTTGTTTATCTTTGTATGTTCTTTTTCACTTTCCTCTTTATTTCTGTCCCCAATCATCTGAAAAGTTTGCTAAAGAGTGGGTAAGTGTATCCTACTTTTATTTTCTTTTTTTCCAACTTCCTGTATTAATATGTTACTGTCATAGAAGAAATAAATCCCCAAACTGTAGAGTAGTTTAGAGACTACTGATCACACACTGAGACCAAAATCTAGCATTTGTAAAACCCTCACAGTCTTCCTTCCCAAAGTCTGATTAGTATTTAAAGCAGATCTGTCTCTTTCAATGTGATTTGATGTTAACATTTTAAAACAATATTAATGCCAAGTGGTAATGAATATAGTGACTAGCACCAGTGCTTGAAATGTTTGACTGAAAAATCAAATGTTTTGTGTTGGAAAGCAGTCATAATCAGTATTTTCTCAGTCCATTGAAAATAAGAATATACTGTATGTTTTCACTAATTAAATCTTGTATTGGAAACAGGTCTTTTCTAAATTAGTAGAAGACTGTATTTTAGTACCTATTCTAGCCATATTGCAGCTGATTGCATCAGAGCTCCCAAGCTAAGTAAGGTTTGGCATGTGCAGAAATTGGGTTGAAGACTCAGAAATGCTGATGCCGCAGGTGCCGGTGTTGGTCAGCCGGTGCTGAGCTCGTGCTGTGGGATCTGCTAACACCCAGGGCTCGGGGCTGCGCTGCCTGCTGGCTTTTGCATGGGACAAAAAGACTCATCTTGGTTTGTCGGGGGTTTTAAAATCTTATCTTATTGTCACTGAGCAAAGCATTTCCATGAGTGGTTAGTTTGAACCATGTGCCTGCTGAACCCAGGGTGTAACACGCGTTCATGTGCTTTGCTGCAGGAGATGGGAAGTGCACAGCATCATCTCCGGTGCTTCAACCCTCTGCAAACTCCCCTGGTGCAGCAAATCCTCCCCACTCCCCTTTCCAGGGCTGTTGGTTTGCGGTGCCCTAGGCAAGGGCTGCCCATTTCCCTCCAGCAGCAGACGAATCTCATTGTCAGGTGTGATCCATGTGAAAATAACGCCCGCAGAAGTGAAGCAGAAGGACTTCAGGGTGTCCAGGAGCGTTGGGTGCTGGTGCTCTCGGGCATGGCAGAGCCTCCCCTCTGACACGTGCCCATGGCTCCCGGAGCTGTGGGCACACAGAAGAGGGCAGGGTTTGCCCATGCTTCACAAACTGATGTAAGATTCTCCTGAATTCAAGGTCCCTCCTAGAAGTGTAAGTAATCACTGGCCACTATAGCAGAGCACTGGGTAATAAGCTGCATAATTCTTTGGTTTAATACTGCTGCATATTGTGGTTTACCAAGGGAAGAGGCTGACAACCACAGAGCTCTTGCTTATGATTAGTGCTAATATCTTCCTCCCCCTCTCCTTTTCTTTTCCTTTAGCACCAGTACCATTCAAAAATAGATGAACTAATTGAGGAAACCGTCAAAGAAATGATAACACTCCTAGTGGCAAAGGTAACCTTCAGCTTCAGGTGAAGTGATTCACTGTTAACATTGCGTTTTTAATATGTGTGTTTCCATTAAAATGTGACACATTAAGATGTTGAATTGGCTTCTTGTTTCTCACAGGCAAGATCATACATCTCCCCGTCCTTTCATGGTGACTCTTTGATGATTAGGAACTGCGTGAGATAATAATACGCTGCTAGCAGGATTGCCATACTGGGCCAGAAGTGGTTTTAAGGAATGGGTGTTATGTTGAAGGGGTAACACCCCGTGGTCAGCATCACCCCACAGCACTGAGGGTAGCTGCAGCCAGGGGTGACACCGCTAAATGCTGGTGCGTAGATGTTGGGGTGGCACGCAGACGTGGTCACCACTCCTACGCAGAAGGTTGTGCGGACAGAATAACTTGTGCAAGATCACCATATGCTCTTCTAAGAAATTAATTTAGAGGTGACAGTAGTGGGAAATGCATTCCAAAATGTCAGGTTTAATTGTTTGGAAATTGTTTTTCATCAGAGTCGACTCCTCTAGCTCAGCTGCCAGCATTTCCCTTGGGTTGTTGTGTAGGTCTGATCTGCTGTGCTAACACAGGGGAAATTGGTACGTAGGGAGAGAGATGGTGGGGTGTGTTTTCCTCTAGTTTCAAACTTTCTGAGAACAAGTCATCCCTATTATACAGTGGAGACCTTTAAACATAATCTGCCAACATATGCCAGTTCGATTCTTCTGCAAGAATACCCAGCTAGCTGCATGCTTGACACCGCGTACTGGGAGTGAAAACCACCAGCTTCCCCAGCCAGAAAGGCCGTGCTTTCCTACACACTGCACCCACCTCCTGTCCCCAGTGTCACCCTTGACACCAGAGGTGACTCCCACTGTGTGAGATGTAGCACCTGAAAGGCAACGCTCCTTTCTCCCCACTCCCCAGCCCGCTGTGCTCGGGGACAGGTTATCTGCTCCTTTGGTGATGCTGAGAGCTCCACTGATTTCTTTGAAGCTGATGCTGATTTTTACACCCTTGTTCAATGATTAAAAATAACCGCAGTATTTTTTGTCTTCATAGTTTGTCACCATTTTGGAAGGAGTCTTGGCCAAACTGTCTAGATATGATGAAGGAACTTTGTTTTCTTCTTTCCTCTCATTTACTGTAAGTACAGACAATATTTTCCTTTCTTCTTTTTTTTTTTATTTTCCCCCCGAGTTGTAATCTCCTGCTCTCCCAGGACTAGATCAGCTACATAATGATTCTGCCATTCTGTGATGTTTGAACACTGTAACCCCCACATGTATATACAGCCTATGTGCATATATTCAGTACATAAACACCCAAGATGCATAAGTCATCTTGTTGTAGCACAGTGTAAAGTTATCTTTAGGCATCATTTAGGCTGGTGGAGCTTATTCTGTTCAGGATGTGCATGAAGGTGAAAAAAAATCATTGCACTGTACATGCAATTTCTCTTAACTAAAGAAGTCGCTTCATTGCCACCTTGCATGACAGGTGTGTTGCTTTCATTATTCTGGTCAACAGTGACCATCTTAAGAAGTAAAAAACACAGTAAGGGAGATGTAAGGAGTGCCTTTGTGTTTCTAAAAGAGAACAAGATAGGAGAAGTACCATGAGGTTACACAGCACAAGTTGCCCCTCATGACACATTTCTCCTTAATGTTGCAGCTCCAATCTACAGCTCATCCCATTACCTATTTCCTAGAAAAAAAGTATGGGAAAAGAACAGTATCTGTGCAAAATTGGCCTCAGTATCCACAAGGGTTTAGCAATCTGAGCTATATTCCAGGAAAGTGTTGTGACAGTTTCTTAGGACAAACGCATAGCAGCTGATTTTCAAAGGTCTTCCGAAAATGCATGCCAGAAAGTTTACGAGAGTGTCTGTTTGCAAGTGTGGCTTCTCTTCACTCAGCTCACAGACAGGTGTGCACCCAAATGCACGTGTCTGGGCTTGCTTGGAAAGTTGCAGTAATGTTTTCACCCACATTTTCACCCACTGGCCCCGTTGCCCACCTGTGCAGCCCATCCTGCACTCACTTATTCACAGAGACTGGGCAGGAGTCAGAAGTCATTACGCTGCAAACTGGGAAGGCTTTCCAAAATCTCCTTCAGGAGCTGTCTTAGCTGCTCATATTTGTCTGTTGTTTGCTACTTTGGGGCCCATTTTGCTGAGTTCAAGGCAGTTTTGTAGGAGCTGTTTGGAAACAAGGATGGTAAGAATGGGTGTAGGAAAGCTCAGCAGCTGAGGCAAGGAATTCTGCTCACAGGCAGCTGTGTGCACACACAGTCTGGCAGCTTATCTGAACTGCCACGGGGCTCTAACCGAGCGTCACAACTCTGCAGGTGTGCTGGAGGCACTTTGTTCTTCAGAGAAGGAGGGGAAGGAAGGGTGTCCCACTCGCTGCCCCACAACGCGGCTCTTCTCCCACCATAACCCCTGCATGGTTATGCCCGGCATGGGGGGGATGCAGGGGATGGCTTGGGGTGGGTACCTTCCCTCATTCCAGTGCTGCTGAGGGTTAGGTGATGCTCGCGTGCCAGCAGCAGAGGATGTGGAGGCGGCAGCTTTTCAGGCATCGGAAGTACCAGCATCAGCCCGGGTAGACAGTGTAACGTGCAGCCCTTCCTTCTCCGTGAATCCAAGCTGTTCCTCGGTTGATGCTGCTGCTCCCACCACATCCCCACTGTTTATGCTGCTGAGTGGTGCTCCCTTTGACTGCTGAGTGAACACCCTGGCCGTGCTCAGGCTCTGGGTGCCCATGAGTAGGCAGCATGCAGGTCCATGGGGTCCAGCACCCTTGCTCTGCTGCTCTTCTGACACTTTCTGACACTAACTGCCCCAGCAGCAGCAGCACAGTCTGTCCCACTCCGATGGCCCCGCAGCCTTTGATCCCAGCTCCACAGCTTCAGTTATCTGAGTTTCCAGCCGAGAAGGGGTGTGCATCCAAATAGTTCCTGTGCGTGGTGTGTGCACGTCCCCAGGAAGATGCTGAGCCCTTGTCCCCAGCAAGGAGGCTGGGCACACTGTGGAGGAGCAGGATTGCTCCTTTCTGACTGAGCAAGGGATGTTTCTCATTTTGTCCCATTTGTTTACTGGGAGCCACTGGGCAGTACCAGCCACAAGAGGAGGCTGAGGAACAGCCCTGACCCCTTTGATGCTGGGCTTAGAAAGTCCTTTCCCTGCAGTAGTAATGGGATTTGCTGTGTTTAGTCTTTGCAACAATAAATAGAGAAACTCTCTCTTGTTACAGCATGCTTGCACCACCTCCCACGTTTTCCCTGTCTGAACAAATACAACAAAGTGTGATGGTCCAAGCTGCCGAGCTCTAGAAAGCATTAGTCTCCCACCCCCTTCCACCATCTTCTTGCATCGCCTGTTTTCCAGGCGCTCTGCAAGTGACATGTAATCGGGGGTCTTGTGACAGACAGTTTTATCACCTAGTAGGATATCCTCATTTCCAATTCTTGCCTCGAAATTCAAGATAAAATTAATGCATCTGTTGTCCTAATAAATTCTCACTAGCCACTTCTCCTTGCAGAGCACTTTGAGAGGAAAATACCCTTCTAAATTTGGCCAGACTTTTTTTTTTTCTGTTTGTTGCTACATTTAAGTGCATCCCGGTGGCAGCCCAGGCCCTGGCTGGGCGTCTGCATGTGCAGATCCATTGAGTCACAGGAATGACAGCTGCTAAAATTCCCTTTAATCTGGATGGCCTCTGTAGGTGGAGAATTACACCTACAGCAATTAAAACTAAAGGCTGCATATTACCCAAGGGAGACAGAAGTAAAAGATCTTATTTTTGTTCTGCGCAGAATTTGTATGGTAAACTGAGACGTTTCATGGCAAAGTCACATACTTTGTGAAAAGCGGCAGCCTATCAAAAATCACACAACATCCGGCAGTTTGGAAATTTCACTAAACATAGCCAAATTTGAGTTTAAAGAAAAACAAGTAATTATTCTGATTAAAGGGGAGTGGGCAGGAGAAGCAGCTCAGTTTTTTTGTGGGTGGAAGGGGGAGATCGCAGGAAGCCGACTGAGTTATTCTTGTCGCCTCTTGGCTTTGAGGAAGAAGGCAGCTTGAGACAGTGATGCTAATCTGGACCTAAGAGTGCTAAATCCACGCTCAGATTGCAGGTTTCCTGGGGTGCTGCTGTATTACTTCATGCCCTGTGTGATGTCTGAAGACACAGGTGCATGGCATGGTGCAGCCCTGAGCATGGACCCCACCTTCGGATCTGTGGGCTGTTGAGCAGCATCATTTTCCAAGCTTTCCTCCTGGTTGTTTAGCTTTGCTGCTCAGAAAAAGAGCTTGTTTGGAGCAAGGGATAGCCCTGCCCGTGGCTGCTCCACGCTGGTGTGGGTGTGCCGTGACTGCTGGCTGCTCCAGAGCTGCCGCTGTTGGCCGGGCTCCAGCTGCCTTCACGCGTGGAGGCTGAGGCTCCTCTGCTCCCGCTCGCAGGATCAAGGGATAGCGCTTCGCTGCCTCCTGAGAAAGTTGTGAGGATAAATGCAGTGAAAGGGTGAGGTGTCCAGACAACCAGCTGGGAACACGGATACCTGGAGGAGAGAGGAGCATTTGCTCTTCACTTGGCGCTGATTTTGCTCCCTCCTTTGTAAACTCCTGTGCTGGGACGTGCCCCGTCCTCCTCCATCCCCTCAGAGAGCCAGACCCCAGTGCAGGCGCTCAGCACCCTCCTCCTGCCCTTCCCTCTGTTCTTGCCCCTCGACTCGGCAGCCCGGGCGCTGCCAATACTTGCAGCGTTCACCTCGGCAATTACCACCAGTCTGGTCTTTTGTATCGCCTCATTGTGCTTAATTATGCACCCCCCACACACACCATATGAGTGCTTCCACCCACTCTCACATTCTGTCTCACACATACATTCATTCTCTCATTCGGGACACATAATTTATTCATCCCAAGATGCAACTGTGTGCGTGTTATATTTAGGCTGTTTTAATGGTAGCTTTAGAAATATTTAAAAGCAGGTGAGCTTTTACACCCAAACAAAGATGGCCGGCAACGCTTACCCTAATTAAAAGCAGAAGCGTTGTGGAAAATCCCAGCCGTACTCTTTCTAGACACGGTGCCTTATGCTACAGTGGGAAAAAGGTCTCTCTGGCCAGCTGGGCACTGCTCAGTTGGAAAAGTTGGCCCTGACGTTGGAGCCACCCCACCTCCCGAGCCAGGCAATATGCACCCTGCTGTGTGGCAAACCAGAGAGAAAGTAAATTTGGGGTCTTGCAGCCCCTGCCAGCTGAGGTCAGCATCCACCCTCTGGTACCCTCCCTTAAATAACATCTTTTAGAAGGGGGGCAAAAATCATAGGAGACTAATGTAGCTGTTCATAGTCTGGGAAGCAGAGAAGCTTTGGGGCACTTCTCTGTGGCATGGCGTGAACAGGCTGCCCTAACATGGTCTGCGAGCTCCTGCCAGCATCAGGGCCAGCAAAAAAGAGGAAAATAACATCCCAAGCTGCAGCCTGTGAAGCTGGGGGAAGCACAGCCGGGACTATGGGCAGGGGGCAAAATTAGGGTCCTTTGGGTTCTTCCTTGTGGCCACCTTGGTGCAGGTGCCTGCCTGCCTCGCCATGCCATCGTGTCCTCGCTGCTAGGGGAGCTCCTATTGTCCCCAGAATGTGGCACCTGACAGGAGAGACACCCGCTGCCTTCAGAGGCACGTGGCATCGGGCAGAGAACGAGGCCTCCAAAGAAAATAACGATGTCTACTTACAAACCCCATCTTCCCCCGCGCGCTGAAGTAGAAGAGGGAGAAGCACAACTCCCACACTATCATCTGTTGCTATTAGAGCTGTAGCAGCAGTAAAGTTACCTCTCCAAAACAACAACAACAAAAATACCGCCTTTGCCTATTCTTTTAGACAGGAAACGTAGTTTTTATCACCCTTTTTCCCCCCTCTCACCATCATGTTGTCCCACATCTTGGCTGGAGAAGCTCTTACAGGTGTTTAAAGAAATAGCAATGACCTGAACATGTGCTGGTGGTGTAAACTCTCTTCTTGTTCCTTTTACAGGTGAAGGCTGCTTCCAAATACGTGGATGTACCCGTAAGCACAATTTAAACAACTTCTGTCATAGTAATTTGCATCATGTTTTGCTTTATGGCATGTGTAGCAACCCACGTTATGCATTAACAGCCCAGATTGAACCATGGGCCTTCACACTTCTAACATTTGAACTGGAAAGAATATCTCCATGACGTTAATAATGAGCAGTTACCCTCTTATGGAGACCTACGAGGCTGTTTAGGCAATAATTTGCAGATGGTGTCAAAAAGGTACCATATTTATGCAATTGGCTTGAATCACATTTAAAAAAAAAAATGGGAGCAGTGCATTCTGTTAATTCTTCATTTGGACTTGTACAAATACAGTATAATTTCCAAACAAAAAGGTCCAGACATGTTAGAACTGAGCCAACACACATCTAACACATTAGCTAATCTATTTTATTTTTGTTCTTCTAATTGTTGATTTATTTTACTCTTTCGGAAAATGACTTTTTTATTACTTTGGGGAAATGGTGATGAGCTAGCAACATGTGTTTGGGAAATTGTTAATGAAAATAATTTTTTCCATTTTTCTGTAATTGGTATAGGAAAACTGTACATCGTCTCCTCTAATTAGACCTTGATTCATAAGGAAAAGAGCCCTTAACGTTCTTAGACAGAGCACTTAACTTGCCAGAAATTTACATTTAAATTGAGTTGAAGTGTAATATGTGAGTGTTGGCTGGAATAAGGGGTTACTGTAACATTTACAGGCAGAAAGATCCTGAATAATTACAAATTTAAAAAACAGTAGATCTTAATATACCACACCAGTTCCTGCATCCAGTTAGACTGGGCAGTGTAAATCAAGTATAACTCAGTTGAGTTTGACCTGTACATATAATATATATATATATGTACATTTAATGCAGATGTCATTGCTCTGCATGCTCTCACATGATAATGTGATAAATTTATCAGACATCTTGGACCATGTCATCTGTGTTCAGTGTTGCCATCCCTCCATTCAAGAGGACAAACTCTTGAACAGTAAGAGATCTTGCTTGGTTTAAAATACCCCAATGCAAAGATCAGCATCCTGTTGTCTCAGAGTAACAGAAACAAGGTATTGAGACCATTAGAAAGAGACACTCAGAATTCATTTCTAGCCCTAGAAAATGTGGAGATCCTTCAGCTGAAACTCCTAGTCGTTCAAGTGCATCTTAAGTATTTAGTCATCAGGAGTTTGAGCACAGAACATTTATTATAAGTGACTTTCAGGGCAAAGTGTGGCCTTTTCTGAGGTCTTTACATTCCTGGAAAGTAAAGCATCTCTAGAGAAGCAACCTCAGTAAAATACTGTATAACCCTTTTAAGCTTTTCCAAAAGCATTTTCTCATTGTACCTGGGAGACCCTTGGGAGGTCCTCAGCATTGCGGCCACGCAGGAGGAGCAGGGTCTGTTCCCATCCTCAGAGCCGGTCAAGCACTCTGGTTCATGTGTAAAATAGAGCAGAAATAATTTATTTTGGGTTATTTTTTGATTGTTTCCCCACCTCCCCCTGGAAATGAAGCCACATTACAACAGCTTTCTTGACAGCCCCAAAATTTTTTATGAAATCAACCACCAGCCCCACAGGGCTCCTAGACCTTTGTGGGAGGATGCCCCATGGTCTGTGAGCCACTGCCTTTCTGGGGAAAGGAGAAAAAAAAAAACCCTGTTTTGTTAGAGGCTCCTCTTTTAGAGGACAGAGGGGAAATCCTAGTGTTGAACAGAAAACCATCAGTTAGATCTAATTCTGCAAATGCCGTTGCAATTGTCTGGGTACAAACCAATCCATTTAATGCCACCTTGAAATGGGCACGATCGGCGTCTTGAAAATTGCTTGAAAGTGTAACACTTGACTACTGCCACATTTGTGTTGTCCTCATTGTTTTTCAAATTAATACCTTGTCATTGTTGCAGTAGGTGTTAAGAAATGTTACTGGCTTCCCAAGGGCCAAGCACCGGCCCTTTGCTTGATAATTGTTTGCTTTGTATTAAAAAACTCCCTTCCTACTGCTTTCCAAACTGTCCTCATTTTCACCCTGGAAATTACACAGATGTGTTAACTAACTTCAATTTACAGTGACTGACAATCGTATCTTGCAGAGAAATGATACTCTGTGATCTGAGGTAAATCACAGTAATGGAAACTAATGACACTAGTTATTAACAAACTTCCAATGTGCCATGGAAATTTAAGATTTTGTGGCAGCTCATGTAATGACTCCTGTTACAGTATTTTAATAGGTTTCCTTTGAGGTAAGTTTGATTCCAGTATATCAAGCAATGTGAACTCAAACAGGATTTTTTTTTTTTTTTAAGCATTTTCCCTTCCACCTGCCTCCGTTCCCATTTGCTTTAGAGAAATGCTGTTACCCCAAAATCTTGCACGCTTGTAGGTTGCTGTTTACAATCAAATGCTGCAGAGAGCCATAGAGGTGTGACAGCACAGGGAGACTTCCTGCAGTTTAGCAGTGGCTTAAACATTCATTTAGATATACATTCCCTGATGTACCATTTCCCCAATTTATTCTTGAGAGCAACACTAAATGTGAGCTAAAGTCAGGGGTCTAAACAGAACAAGCAAGGTGCTTTTGGCATCCCTCCTGCAACACCAGCTGCTTACTGCAGACATCCTCCCAGCGTAGAAGAAGAACCAAGAGCCCAGCTCTGGCTGTTAGCTTTCTACCCTCAGAAACCAGAGGGCTTGTGTAGAGAAGATGACCCAAGAAAACAAGAAATCCCCAGCCTGACTTGCTGGTTCATTCATTGGGTCAACAGCACCAAAGGTAGCAAGACAACTTCCCAGCATTGGTATGTTGAGGAAGAGCTTTATTCCTCTGACTGGCTTTGCTCTAGGTGAAAGAAGAGAAAGACTGAGTGTCTGTGCATGATCTTGTGCTGCAGACAGTATTTTGCTGGGCAAAGCAGCGGGACTCGGTGTCCATCAGGTAAGGAGAGGGCGAGCTGCAGGAGGACAGCAGGAGATGGAGGAGAAGGAAAAGCAGCAACGAGGCTGCACAGAGGAGCTGCCCCCTGAGCCGCTATTCATGTTTCTCTCTCTCTCTCTCTTCTCTCCCCCATGCAGAAGCCGGGGATGGATGTTGCTGATGCCTATGTGACATTTGTCCGCCACTCTCAGGATGTCCTGCGTGATAAGGTCAATGAGGAGATGTATATAGAAAGGTTATTTGATGTAAGTAAATGCCTTCTCCTCCTTGGACACCAAGCAGGAGAGACCCAAAATGTGACAAAATAAGACAGGAGGATAAGTCACATTTTGAGAAAATTTATTGGTTATAGCTTTAAAAAATAAATAAATCTTTCCTTTCTTTCTGACTAAGGCTCGTATCTGCTCTCTGCCTGCTTTAAACCTCTAGTCTACTGTGTCTTGGTCTGTCTGTGTGTGGATTTTAAGGGAACAGCATCTTCTAAGAGAGCTCTTTACTATGTTAAAGCTTGTGGAAAATCTCTCTGTAACAGAACATCTTGGTCATTGTTCTCACTGTTCAAATTTGAGCCGGGTTTTTGGCAGATGCGCTTGCTAAGGGCCATCTCTTCTGCACATTTTGCAGTGCATTTCATTGACAGGCACTCCAAAACTGACAGTGAATTAAGTGTACTAATTTTTAAATTTGAAAAATAACCAAAACAGAGCCGATGATTAGGAACAGACTTTCATATTTCAGGAGGACCATGTTGTGGTGTCTGACACCAAAGGTAAAGTTGAGACATGGTCTCCTTGATGAGGGTGGCATGGTAGGAACTGACCCAGATGTTCAGAGCTATTTTTCTGTTGCACCAGATAAATTCATTGGACTGTAAGAGAACAGTGACCTGTGATGCCCGTTTGTTTTGGATTTGGATGCATGTTAACCGATCTCTCTGTTTTTGTTGCTCTTGTTGTGTTATAGCCTTTCTGTCCTCGTAGCTGTTCTATAGCGAAGGTTTTCTGTTGACAGCCAGCCTGTAGCATTAGTGTTTCAGTCTCCTTTAGGGTATTTGTCCATATATCAATTTCTGTTTGAAGCAGCTTCTGTTCCTACTTTCCTTCCTGTCATCTCTCAGCAGTGCCATTTCTCAGTCTCCCAGCTCTGGAACTGTAACAACCTTCCTTGCTTTCTTTACTCGCTCGTTTGCTTCCTCAGTGTGCAGGGAAAGCTGCTTTTTTTTCCCCAGCCAAACTCCTCCTCCACTCGATACCTCTCTTTCTGCGCATTACCTGTCCCTTAGAAACCTCTTCCTCCTTTACAATCCCCACTCTTTCTTTCCCTTGTACCTTATCGGATTAAAATGGAACTTATCTCTCATGTCAAATGTTTTATCACATTATATCAAGTGGCATGAATTAGAATCAAATAATCTTACTGTGTACATCTACTAGCATGACCCATATCCACTGAGAATGCCTCATTCATGCACGGAGCACAGCAGTGCCTCCTCTGGGCACCGCGCATCCTCGCTCGGGGGAGAGTTTTGCGGCACAGAGCACCAGACGCAAATCACCCATCAAGCAGGCATGGGGAGAAAAAACAAAACATAAAACAAAAGACTGTCGCTTCCATCTGCAGCAGGCCTGCGAGTGCATTGCTCGTTTGTGTTGAAATTTATTCCATGAGCAGTTAAATTTCCAGAACTCATCTGGACTGTTCTTTTCAATGCCCACACTGCCTTTTCCCTCATCCTTTCCCTATGATTCACAGTTGGTGTGTTTGTACCCTTTGGGCCTTTATTTCCAAATTTTCAAAAGGCTGGAATTAGCACAAATATTGATTTTGGTTTGATCCGCTCAGACTTAGTTTTACCAAGCCATATTTTAAACAAATTAACAGTTGACATGAAAAAAAAAAAAAAAGAAAATTAAAAAAGGCAGCTACCTTGGTGGAAAGCAAAAAGAGCAAAACTTTCTTGCCCTCCCTGCTTTCCTCAAGTCTCCCTGGTCCATGTGGAATAAAATAATTTGGAGTAGGGTTTTTTACACTGCTCTGCCTGTTTTGACCCACTCCAGCTGCAGGCAGGAGCTACATCATGCAGGAGCTGTTCCCGTTCCCATTCCTGCACTGGTGGGACAGTGTTGAGACCCAATGCCACCGGTGTCTTCCCTCGTGTCTCGCATATGTGAGTGTGCGCCCGTGCGCGGGGCGAGCTGTGGGGCCCTTGGTTCACAAGGAGGGAAGGGGATGAGCCAAGCCCTAGCCACCCAAAAATTGGAATTATGTTTTGAACGGTTGTGTATTGTCTTTGCCAGGTTGCAGCTGAAGAAGCAAATTGCCCCTGAGGTCAGCTCTCAGCATGGCTGGGGTTGGAAGCCACAGGGTTTATGAGTATGTGGGGGTTACCTGGGCCTAGACCCCGTTTAAATCGGTGCTGTGTTCACCTGCATTTCAGTAAGAACAGGAGCAATTGCTTAGCACTGTGTTCCTGAGCTCCATCTCAGCCACAGTCCTGCAGCCCTTTGCCCCCCTCACCCTGCACAGCAAAGCAGCGCGGCCACGGGGTCTTTAAGCTCCTTTGGTCTCTGCACCCATGGCCATATTTTCCAGGGACATTTTAGGTGCTAGCTACCTTTTTAATAAGAAAGAGAAGAGAAATAATCAAAAATAATATTTACAGTGCTGAATTAGACTTGGTACTGGTTTTGTTCTCACTTCCCCCAGCGCGGCAGAGGAACAATCCTCTTAGCTGCAGAGTTTCTCCAGGCAATGAGATTATTAACGCTTCAGAGGCCGGCTCCTCTCCTGGTTTAGTGCAGCAATGCTGGCTTACCCCAGCCACAAGCTTAGTCCAGTTTTAGGATGTTATATGTTAATATGTGCAGCAATGGCAGGTAAACAGCTTAAATCTGCCTGCAGGCAGTTCCTCTGGTCTCTGTGGGATCACGTTGGAGACACTCGCAATGTAGGGCTAAATCCCCTTTCTGTGCAGCTGGGAAAAGACCTTTTATTTTATTATTTGCTGTGAGTAGTGCAAGAGATTTGCACAGTGCAAGGTTCCCTATTGCGTGTTCCATGGTGGTTGCAGCTCCCAGGTTCTTCCCAATTCCCACATTTCTCCACAGTCCTGCCCATCGTTTCCATTCGTTTCCCCTTTGTTTCCTCCCAGGAGCAGAGGCTGCAGAGTGCATTAGGCCATCTCCCAACAGAGCTGGGTTAATACGGCTTTTTTGGTATTTGCCATGATTTCTGAGCTCAGAAACCATCTCTTTTCCCCTGCATCACGTTCCCTGTTTGCACCTGCAGAACAGGGCTATGCTCTTTGAGAGATACTGGTGTTTATGGAAGATTATTGTAATATTTCTGTGTGGTCTGTGTGTTAATCCTCTTAATTCTGCAAATTAGTCAGGGTTTTTTTTTTTCCTCCCCCCTGAAATAGAGTCATCTTAATTTTAAAAATCTGTATTCTTGGGATCATTGAATGAACAGATTGATCGTGGAGTTCTGCTGGTAATCAAAACCTAACTAGCTTTTTGGCAGTGCTGTTTACTGCAGGGTAACATGACTTATTTACTTGGCCTGGCTCACTAATTTGATAACATTTAAAGCTAAAACACTGTAATAAAGCCCGTTGTTAGAGAGCAGTGCTAACAGAGGAGTTTCAGGATAGCATCGTAGCACCCACTCCCTGCGTTCCCGTGCATGGCTGCATGCTTTGGGACTTAAACTACTGTGATGCTTTGTACACAAAGCAGAAGGATCACAAACTCTGGTAGTGCCTGATGGAAAGTTAGATTTTATTACTTTTTCCCTGGAAAGGGGGCAGAGTTGACATGCAGAATGTGTCTGTTTACAGGAACGATGAAGCAGAGGCAGGCGGGTGTATCTTAAACATGGAAAAATACCTTCAGAGTGATCTTGAGTCTTCAAACCAATCGTGCAAAATTCAGGTCCCCTTTGGTTTGGGACATTCAGTATTTCATCAGATCAGAGTTTATATGTCTGTAATTTTGTCTGAAGGCAGTGGGAGTTTTATTTGTAATGTTCGTGCCCTTTGGTGGAAGTTATTTGTACATGTGTGTACGTGTGTGTATCTTTAGACACACCCTTAGGTACTCACAGTGTAAGTTTCAACCCATCAGAACATATGTGATTCAGAAAGTCTGTGATTGACTAGTAAATAGTGTGAATGCCAACCTTTCTTCCTCACAAATTGGTAAACACTATTGTAAAATAGAGCAAGAATATTTCCTCCTGAGCCACAGGCGAGTAGCACGTACACAAAAGGCTACTGAACATCAAGTGAGCTTCCCGAGATCCTGCGAATTCCAGCATCCTGATGCACCCTAAATAGCGCAGATGGCATTTTTCTCTCTGATGATTAATTCAATATCTTACAGGAAAAAAAAAAAACAAACCAAAAACATGCTTTTGATATGAGAGATCAAAACACCAAGAGAAGCTCCTAAGATTGCAAGGACCTAAAAAAAAAAAAATTAATTTATTTTTTTCCTCCTTGTACTTCTTGAAGACACCAGCCTGAGTAGAAGATAAGGATTAAAACAGATGTGCTTAGTGCTAGTTCATCTGCTTAAATCTAGCAGTCTCTGAGATCAGTGATTAAAAAGCCATCTCTAACTTTGATGAAATCCACTGCAATGGTAATACTGTGTCTCTGATCGCTTTCTTATGGGCCTCATGTCTGCCTAAACCGGACATAGAAAACATTTCACTGGAGATGATACATGGATTATATGGGTCAATTATACACTTAATCTGCCTTCTGGGGATTAAATGTGCATAGATTGACCCTGCGTATTTGGCTTGTCCTTGGCAGTTATCAGATCAGGAAGGGTGCCTTTACCAAAAAGTCTGGTAAGAACTTAATCACGCAGTGATACAGCCCGCTGAGGTGGCAGGAGTCACAGTGCTTTTTGCAGAAGGCAGTTTTACCACTTCACTGTCACTGTGTATGTTCGGCTTCCTCGAAGGTCTGTGTCACAGCCGGGATACCAGACGGAGTATTTTTGCCTGAAATGAGAACACGAGCCCGTTCATCTCTGCGAGACGGAGGCAGTTTCTTTATCTTGATGGCAGGGTGGGATCGGCAGGTCCGGGCTGGCATAGCGAGGAGGGCGATGGTGAAGATCAGGGGTTTGCTCTGCCCTGTGCCATCCTCGGTGCAGAGGGACAGTCATAGAATCATAGAATCATAGAATGGTTTGGATTGGAAGGGACCTCAAAGATCATCTAGTTCCAATCC